GAGCGACCATATTCATCACTAGACGGGTTCTCCCTGACTGTTCAAGGGATCTGAGCGTGTAAGGGGAGGGAGGCTGTCTCCGCCCTGGACAGCTTCCACCACCTCCCTGGGTACGTGGGCTCGGACATCCTCCCCTGCGATGTGGAGGGAAGTCATTGAAAGGTGGATTCCTCACAGGGCCTGATGTTTAGATTCTGAAGCATTTGGAGCAGGACCCAAAGTTCTTACTCAGGAAACATGAAGGTGACCCACCTTACAGGTGTGTCCGGCAAGTGCACAGTCTTTAGTTTTGCATTGGGAGGTTTCACACCAGTTTCAAAGGCTTGAGAATGATGAAAAATGGGTAGGAGCTGAAGAGCCTGAGACAGAGGGAAGTGGAGGGGAGGGGAGGGTCTTTCTGAGGGACCATAAGTAAGTTCTGAGATGCTTGAAAGAGCATGAGGTGTGGTGGGCGGGGCGTGGGAGAGGTGAGGGGGGGTGCCCAGCGGGGCGTGGGAGGGGTGTGGGGCGGGTGTGCCTGGTGGGGCGCGGGAGAGGTGGGGGGGAGGTGGGGTGGGGCCCAGGACCAGGAAATGAGAGAGAAGCCTCATCCTAGACAGGAGAGCTTGAAATTCCTTCTGTGCTTCTGTTTCCCCACAAATAAAGATGGTTTCAAGCATCCCTCCTGGTTTTAATATTCCATTACTTCATTATTCCAGGGGTCAGTAAACTTCTGTAAAGGACCAGAGAGCACATATTTTAGGCTTCATGGGCCACAGTCCCCATCACAGTGACCCAACTCTGCTCTTGTAGCACGAAGGCAACCCCGGCCAGTAAGGGACTGAAGGAACACGGGTGTGTTAATAACACTTTACGGACACTGAAATTGGAATTTCATCTAATTTTCAAGTATCGCAAATACCACCCTTCTTTGATTTCTTTTCCCCAACCACTTAAAAGTATTTAAGCCATTCTTGGCCCACAGGCCATACAAAAGCCGGTGGTTGGGTGCAATCCCCGCACTGTTTGATGTAGCTACGGTCGGGGGTGATGGGGGTCTGTCCCACCGTCACATCCACTCTACCGGCATTTCTCAAACTTAAGTGGGCACAGGAGTCAATTTGTTAAAATACAGACTCTGACCCATTCAAAGTCTAGGATGGGGTCCGAGATTCTGCATTCTGAGTAAGCTCCCAGATGCTGGCCCATGCCCCACACCTGGAGCTGCAAGGATCCAGAGTGCCAGGGTAGCCACCGCTTCCTTTTCTGGGATGCCCAGGAGTTCAGGATCCTTGGGATCGACATCTGTAGGGACCCCGCCCCTCCATCCTAATTTTTTGTAGGACAAGTTCCTTGGGAAAAACATCCTGTGTGATGTCACCCTTACTCCAGGCTTTTCTCTTCAAGGGCCTTTTAACTGCTTCTGAGGTGCCTGAGGTGGACTGAGAAGGACCCGTGTCCCTGCTGAGTTGCACTGTCTGTGTTATGTTAACGGACACCTGCTCTAACTCTTCCTTCCAGCGCCTGTCAAAGGGAAGCATCCTTGGTACCTGCTGATCCCCTGTGGGTACCAGGGCCTGGGTCCACCTGGATACCTGCTTCTAACATTTACCGTCAGGAGTGCCCTGTTTCCTCAACCAGCAACGCCCACCCACGAGGCCAGCCCCATAGACACAAACACAAGGCTTTTCATGCCATTTTGGGAATTCATTTGATGGAACAGATGACCGGAATGCACTTTCTTTTTTTTTGGTTTCCTAACTGAAACCACTTCCATAAGAAAATGTAAACTGAAAACATGCTGCCCTGCTATAGCATCAGTGTGTTCACCCTCCCTTACAGACTGATAACTAATTCTGTTCAGCTGCTCTTGGAGGCTTCGCGTTTGCTCTGTGGAGTGGCAGCGTTAACCTCTGTTGACAATGAGCTAATGAACGCGTGAAAATGATTTCCGACACTAAAGGGCCTTGTCCTATTGCAGTTTGCGGTTTTGCTCCTAAGACAGAGCTGAAGCACAAAGAGTGAAATAAAATCTCTTTTTAACTGTTGTGCATTTTATAGATTTTTCCCCCCTTAACATCCACACAGTTCAGAAAGTAATTAAGTAAGGTATTTAGGCGGTGAAAAAAAAAAACAGAATCCATAACAGGGCAGATAGATTTTCTGTTTTGTGTCCAAAGGGCAACTGAGACGTATTCTGGTTTCCATAGTAACAGGGGCAGGCCTGATCAAATCAACAAACAGCTACAATTTATCTGAGGGTCTCCAATGAGCTATTTTTTTTTTCTCATCCGAAGACTATTCTGAGTTAGATAGTCTTCAAAGACAATGGAGGCTTTTGGAAAATCCAATTTCAACAACAGAAAACAGAAGAATCCTTGCTTATATAACCGAGAACTTAGTCTCAAATGCAGTGATTTAAATATCTTAACTGTAATAGTAATTGGATCACATTTTACTTGTTAATCAGTAACAAGGAAAATCTTCAGACATTTCCCCCGAATAAAAAAAAAAAAAACGAATCTATAGGTGACCTTCAGGCACCTGCAGCATCGCCAGGGTGGTGCTTCTAGGAGTTTCTGAACCTCTATCATGAACCCTGCAAAGCAGCTCATTCTCATAGACTATGATTATCAATTTTATTTTGGCTTCTTTTGGTTTAGACCCTGAAAAGGGTTCTGCGTGGTCACAAACACAAGAAACTGTGAAGACACAACATCACACGTTACTTTGACAGAAGCCATCGCTAATCCAGCTTTAGGTTCCGACCAATGGACATTCTGTAGAATCTGTTCAAACAAACCTTTCAAGCAAGATATTTCAGCCATGAAAAGTTAGTGGCACCAGTTCCCAAAATGCCTGTTAAAATTAACGTAGCTCATGCGATCACAGTCCAAGGTCCCACATTCACTATAGTCTGAGACGTAAAACGACTTTGTGTCTAGAAAGGCAGGCCAGAGGTGTTCTCTGAGCCTTCACTTCCGTGGCCCTCTGACCCTCTGCTCACGACTCTTCAACTAACCAGAAGATCTCAGTAGACTTCATCAAGGCATTTGGGATTATTACTAGAAATGTATATTATTAAATTACTAGATACCCCAAATATCATCCCAGCTTTGTTACATCCCTGTCTCTAATACAATTACTCAGCCATGCAAAAAAAAAGTTTATTATCTGTGCCCAATAATGGGCTCAGAACCTTGAGGGAATCTAACCTTTTGAAATCCAAGTCTCTTGGAAAGAATTGGTTTCTAAGCCTGGGGAAAATACTGTATATTAGAAAGTCATGGGTTTTGCATTTTAGTCCTCATCTTGCAACGAACTATTTTTCTTCATTGGGAAGAATGTTCTAGACTAGCTCTGTCCAATAGAAATACAGTGTGACCTACATATGTGTGACGCTGGGGATGGGACTCAAGGAAGGAGCCTTCCTTGTCTGGTGTTCCAGGCTTCTCTCCTCTGCTGTGGGGTGGAGGTGGGAGCAGACCACAAAGTGAAGGAAAAAACAGAGAGAGAGCTCCTCCTGGCAGAGGTACCTGAAGCTTCCCCCAAACCCCAGCTTCCATCTTTGCACTTCATCACCTTAAGTAGCATGAGGCCTCTTTGGGAAGAACTTCATTATTCTCATACATCTGTATTTTTTTTAAGAGCAGAGATTGCAAGCTGGTCCCCACTGGCCGAATCCTCCATGTGTCTTAAGACAATAGATGTGTGTTTGACCTACACAAGGTTCAAGCTTTAGTTAGCTGCTAAAAGCAAAAGAAATCAGAACACGCTGTATAATAATCTGGACATTTGGCTTCTCTTGAAGAAGCAGATCTGGCAGCCGTGACCCTCCCTCGTGCATGGCCACCATCAATCGGTACTGAGTAGCCAAGGCTGCCACCTTTAGATGGGCCTGCACTCGCCAGTCCTGACTGCACCCAACTGTCCTGCCAACCCTGAGGCTGGCTGTCAGCTGCCATTTATTTACATTCTCTCATTTATGTTCCTGAAGGCATCCAGACTCAACAGCCCCCACCCTCAAGTACTTGCCATCCACATCCTCTGTAACTAAGTATCAGTGAAACAAAGCACCGTGAACATTGTTATGTTTTACATCCTTTGGGATTCATTCTATCTGGATATGACTTACGTGCTTCTTGGGGATAAAATTTTATTTGGGAGAAGGAAACAACAGCGGGCGGAAAGCAGGACCATCAGAAGCCGGTTAGTGTCAACAGTGCAGTATCTCTGCGCACACACGTGCACATACGCACCAGAGGGGAATTCCAGGGAGCCCTAGTAAGCCTGAGGAAGGGAAAGACTCCAAACGGAATTGGCCACGTACACAGGCTGAATCTGCTACTATCGGAATCCCTCGAATAGCCAACAGGCAGGGGAAAAATTGTGACTTAGAACATAAGGCAGGTGCTCAGAGAAAGAATGTTCGTTAAAGCTGACATGCCTGGTAAGTAAAGAAAAGTAGGGAGGGAGATGAGAAGAAAGAGGGAAGTGAGGAGGGGAGAGGGGGAACCGAAGGAGGGGAGACAGGAGACGAGTCTGGGATGGAAGCAAACACAGATACCCCCTGGGAGGGAGAGAAAGAGCCGGCCTTTTCGAAAGAGCTGCAGCAAAATTAAGATGCTTACTTAATTACACCCAGACGACCTCCCAGGTTAAGACCCAAATGCCCTCCTGCCACTTGGAGGAGCACAAGCCGCTCTTTCTAATGAGAAGACTGCACGGACAACCTTGCCCGGCTCCCCAGTGACAGGCAAACCAATTTCTTATGCGGGAACCAACCATGCTCACTTCTGGGATATTTCCAATCTCCATTCTCTAAACGGTAATAGACACAGAATGTCAACAGCTTGCAAAGGAAGGTGATCATGCGACATGTATGCCTTTGAATAAAGAAACAGATTAACATTTAAATTACTTTTTGCCTTTTGGCCGGGTGACTGCAAAATTCTGGCCCCTCCCAACGTTAGGTTTCTAAAAGGAAAGGCGGTTCCAGTCATTTCTGCTGGTCTCCTCACCTCGAACTTCTGCCTGAGCTCCACGTTTCCTTCTTCATCCCCTTCCGGAATGGGCACGTTGTAGTACTCCCCTTCCTCCTGGTTAAGCAGCTTGTACCTTTCAGAGACACGGGAGGGAGGGAGGGGTGAGAGCCCCGCGCCGGCAGCGCCCCGGTTCAACCCCTCCCCTCCACGCCCCAGCCCGGCTGCTTCTGCAATCCATCCACGGGGAGATTACAGCCAGACAACTTCATATTCAGCGGTCCCTTCAGACCTGAACCAGCTCGTTTTCTGAATCTCCAAATGCTCTAGTATTTTCAGACGATGAACTCTTGGCTGACACACACGTACTCGGTCTCAGGCTTCCTTACCATCCACTGGCTGGCATCTTCATCAGCTCTGAAACTCCGAAGGAGAGGGACCCCATGAAGTCGTTCCTTGTTGTTCGATCCCAGTCCCAGATTTCTACGGACAGTCGTCGGTCTTTATCTGAAGGTTTTAATTTGCTACGAAAAAACACAAACACAGACGCATACGAGGTTATCTTGACTGTGTATTTGGGGGGTGACGTCACATGCTCACGATCTGAGCTGGTGCCTCTTTTTTTTTTTTTAATAATGTGTTCAGTTCTCTTCCTGTGGTTCTCCATCAGCAAAGTTGCAGCCCCTTGGCAACCAAAGCTCCAGACTAGGGCTCAGCAAACTACATTCCACAGGGCACATCAGAACCACTGCCTGTTTCTATAAATAAAGTTTTACTGCAACACAGCCATGGCCATTTGTGTAGGCACATGTTGTCTGTGGCTGATCTGACTCCAGAACAGCATCGTTGTGTACCTGCAACAGAGACTGTATGACCCATAAGGTCTAAAATATTTACTATCCGGCCCTTTACAGAGCAAAGCTGGACAGCCTCTGTTCTATACACTGGACAGCTACCTTCTGGTTGTGCACAGATAAACCGCTTCCTGTGTTCTAGTCTACAAAGAGGACCACTTGCTTGAGCTCAGCTCACTCAGTGTTTTCTGACCCCTACCTTATTCATGCCATTCCCTCCTCCCTTCCCCTCCTCCCTTCTTCTCTTCTACCATCTCTACCTCTGAAGTCCCAGCACTCCTTTAAGGCCCACTTTAAATGTCACCTCCTCCAGGAAGTCTTCCCTGCTTAGAGGTAAGAATAATCTTATTTCAGTGGCAACGGCCACTTCTATGGTACTCAGTCCATATTTTAAAATTTATTATTTAAATTCTCACCTACACCCTCCTCTAACCCTCAAAAGAACCTAAGTCCATTGAGAGCTGGGACACACTCTACATTTTTATATCACCTGTAATGTAAAAGAATTTTTTGTATAGAAGTTACTGATAATAATTGGTGGCCTGCATTGTGTAACTTCCTGGTAAAACAAGTCTCTATCCACGAAACGGGGGTGACAACAGCTCCCTCTCTAGCTGGAGTGGGAGAGGGCTTAGGAATGAAGCAATATTTAAAGACGTTTGTAACAAGCGCACATCATCATCTCTAACAATGTGGAGGGAGGAAATCCAGCCAGGAGAGAGGACACACTTACAATGTAAAGGATTCATTCCACTGGGGGTTTAGCGTCGAGCGGATGGTTTTGGTTTTTTGTTTGCTTTCATTCTTGGGATCAGGAATAAGTTTCAGCTTCACATAAGGATCTGAAAGCCCATTTGGATCCATAGGGATTAGATTTTTTGCATCTCGTACTGTGGAGAGAGAAAGAAGAAAGATCAAATGTTACAGAAAGAGAACAGACTGTATTGCCCAGTGTCCTGCGTCAGGACCAAAATGGATGAGAGACATCAAGATGGTGTTTGAGGGAGAGGACGTGAGGACCAAAAGCCTCTGACCCTCAACATGGGAAAAGCTGCTCATTGCCACCCTTGCCAGAGAGAAAGGTCCAGCCTGGAGACCCAGCATCCACCTGGTCCAGAAGGACCTGGGACATTTGGATGCTTGTCAGAAATGCAGACACCTGGGCTGTACCACTGCATCACTCGAGGCTCCAGAAGAAGTCATCTCTTTCCTGTGTAAAGGTCGGTGATTTCTAATCTGGCTGTACATTGGAATGGTGTGGGAGGGGGTTTAAAAATTCCAGTGCTTACAACTCAATTAGAATCTCTGGGCGGGGGGTGGCCCAAGTTTTTAAAAGTTCCCCAGGTGATTCAATTGCGCAGCAGAGGTAAGAGCCATTGGCGCTCACAGCTGGAAGGCAGGCTGTGCTCCGCGGGTGCCCTATGGTCGTGCTCCGCCAAGGGAGGGGGGCCCGCGTCCGAGCAGCACCTGGAGCGTCACCTGGGTGCTCAGGAGACACGCAGAATTACACTCAGAATCCTCAAGGTCACAAGACCCCCCCCACGTGACACTAATGCACATTCTATCTTGAGAAGTGCTCGTATGCAAACCCACAATAATTAGGAGGAAAGGCCGCTTCACCCACAGAGATGCAGCTGGCAGAGGCTTAGGACAGTGGGAGCTGAAGCCACTGTGTGTCAGTGAAGCCCCCATCTACCACTCTGAGGAGAAGGGACAAAGGCCTGAGTCTGCACACCCCAGAGGTCTTCCTCACCATCTTCCAGTGGCGTCTTCCCAACATGGCTGAAATTTCCCATCCTCAGGGCCCCTAGTTAGCCAGACACCCTCAGTACACATCTAACCAGGACCAGGCTCTGTAGCCTAGTGGCTTATACAGTGTGGCTCCTGGACAAGCAGCATCACCAACTGAGTCAGAACTCGGGGGCGGGGGTGTCGAGTGACCTGTGTTTCCCAAACCTCCAGCTGATTCTGATGAAAAGTTGGCGAACCACTACTCTAGCCTAAGTTTCGCTGCTAAATTCAGGATTTTAAAGAATTTTTTTTAAAAAGGTGCTAGAGTTGGCAGTGGACAGGGACAGAGGAGGAGATGGAAGGATGCTAAAGATACTGGATCTTTGGGCACAGCCCTGAGAGCATAAGTTCCAGATGGCTTTGTCCTTACCAGTCTGGGGACACGCTGAGTGCTGCCACCTGCTGGCCAGCAGCCTTACATCTTCCTTGCCTGGAAGCCGTATCGCAGGAAGGGGACAGGTGGGACCATATTCAAATGATCTGGGGAGAGTGGGCTGGCTCAGGGCGACTAACCACAGACAAGCCAGGCATCTGTTCCTGCTACTCCACTTATGCCTTCCAAGGATTTTTTTCCCCATAAGATGACATCTAACCTCATCCAGCTGCGTGTGGACAGAACAGAAGCCAGCATGCACGTGTGTGCTCTGCCGCTCAGCCCACCTGCTCCCGCATCCTGCCTCTATCAAGTAACCCCAAGTTCACGAGCCTCTGTTTCTCCATCTAGAAAACTGAACAGGGACATATTTCCAGTGGTCCAGGACTGTTGGGAGAATTAAATAAAATAATGTGTATAAAGTGCCTTATACTGTTGGCAGTTTGGAAAATGGTGGAAAAGAAAAAAAAAGATTGCAATGATGTGAGTGCCCACTTACTACGCCCCGGCCATGGTGTTTCTGACACACCCCACTGCCTACAATTTCAAAGTCTACAATGAGGTAGGAGGTCTCTAGGAGACCTGGCCACCTGAGAATTCCCCCAAATTCATGTAGGTTTTTAATGCGATGCAGAAAGGTCTACACTCTTAAAACAGCAACCCAAGTATCACAAACGATGAAAAATTTGAGTATAAAAATGAAGCTCTCCCACAATGGGCCAAAAGTCTCCCTCCAATTAAGCACTGGAATGAGAATCAGATACTTTTTAAAAGGCTGAAAGAGCTCCGGCACGTCTACCACAGAGGCTACGTCCCAGATAAACTAACGAGGAGCCATCAAGGCCGCCCAGAGCGCCTCCGGATGCAGAACGAATGCGGGGGCTGGCGTTTCCACCTGCAATTGATAGTCCTGGCAGCCGGCACACATCAAACAAGGCTGACCTCTTCTGAGTGGTGATGAGTTAAAATCTTGATGGGATTTAAAGCTGTGGGCTTCCGACTGAGCTATGGTCACTGAAGTTGAAAACATAAAGAGTTCTCAATTCCAGCTGTCACTGAAGTAGACCGTGGATCCAAATTTCAATTTCTTATCGCAGCGGAGAACAGCCCACCTGACGTGAGCCGGGACACCTGGATCAGGATTGGGAGCGACCAACTTCGCGTCCCACCTGCTCAGAATGTGGACTCTGGGGCCAGGCTGCCTGCGTCTGCATTCTGGCTCTGCCATTTTGTGTTTGTATAACCCTGGGCAAGATATTTAACCTCCCCGTGCCTCAGTTTCTTCATCCGGAAAACTGAGAATTATGTAAGTTCTCACATGTACAGTGCTCAGCACGGTGACAGGCACAAAGTACGCGCCCCATAATGATGAGGATCGTTGTTGTTGTTAATACAAGTTTCCGGCAGAGAACACAACCCCAGACACTTTGATGTCCAGAAACTGGACTGTCGGCTTAGGAACCGGCAGGCGAGAGCCGTGAAGAACAGTATGACGGGGAAATTTTCTCATGTGGTTTCAGCGGCGTGGTGTGAGCAACGTCTTAATCTACGGAGCAGCGCTGGAAGGTCGGACGCACAGGAGCAGGTGTGCGGGGGCTGGGAGAGGGGAAAGCTAGGAAAGAGAAAAGGAGAGCAAAACAGGTGGGGCAGTGGGTGAGACGTGCGAGGCAGGAGGGAAAGCAGGAGAATGTGATGAAGACGTGGCGCCAGAGGGCAGTGAGGATGCTGCCTGGCCTTGGCGCCTCGGGGCTCATGGCACTGGGGTGGGGGTTCCCCACCTCAGCTGTGCCCTGGAAACACCCGGGATGTTTTTGTCAAATACTGATGCCTGGGTCCTGCCTGCAGAGAGCCCGATTTAATGGGTCCAGGCTGAGGCCCAGGTATCAGCATCGCCCAAGCTTCCCAGGGAAGTCCTGGCGGTCGTTCTCAAAGTGTGGTCCCTGGGCCAGCATCACCTGAGGCATCATTTGCATCATTCAAGGACTCAGACTAGCATTTACTTTAACAAAAAACTGTACTGGCTTTTTAACACTCTATATTTTAAAACGTATTACTCGAAATTTATCACTATGGTAAGTGGAAAACCAAGACTGTCTGTCATAAATAGAAAGCACCCATACAAATAAATATGATGAAAATCCAAGTGTCCCTAATTTCTCCGTGGCCTGAGGCCTGCTGTCTCTCAGTTACAGAGGGGAAATTAACAGGTGAGAGGGTGTTAAGGATATTCCAGCGCCAGATGGAGTCTTTCTCCCGGTTACAACCAAGACTGAAAGAAAATTGAAACGGTAATCATTTTCTCACCATGTAATTTAATGCTTCTTAATGTCAGTTGAGCATCTTCAGAAATCGTCCCAAGTATGACCAAAAGTCAGAGCCCCTCACAGGCCCTGTGTCCAGGATGTGGAGTATTTCACAGCCCAAGAGCACCAGCAGATCCAAGAACTGACCAGCACAAGTCCCACGACTCATTTCCTGCCTCTCGTCTTCTACAAGAACCAGGATGTTTTGACCCCCAGAATTAAGACAGAAAAAAAAATCATGCTCCCTTGATAAATTATTGAGAATGAGAGTTTTGGGTGGGGGTAAAGCTCTAACGTGCCAACTCCAGTTGGAAAGGTGGATGGTCTCTGCACACTGCAGTAGAGAAGCAGCCAGTCTCCCCTATAAACTCAGTGACACGACACTAATTGTGCTCCCCAGGGTCCGGCAGGCCAGCCCAGAGCCCCGTGGGGGACCGCACGCGGCAGGCGTGCTTCTCCCTCCCCATCTCGTTCGTCAGTTCCCCAGCCCCTGTGAGAAAAACACACTTGCTAAAGAAATACACCTGCTCCATGGCATTGGCCATTTCAGAACGGAGGTCTACTCTGTCACTGCCGAACTCGAACAGAGACAGAGAACGCTAATTCCGTCACCATCGTTTGACTTGAAATGATCAACTGTGAAGCCCAGCACTGAGAAAAACCAACCCGGGGCTGAAAGACTATAGAATTTCCTGATAATGTAAAGATACCATCTCTGGACAAAGTCCATTCAGATAAAACTATGGAGACTGAGAAATACCGGCCTGGTGCCCCAGAGACACCTGACATAGGTGGCTAGGTGAGCCCGGCACATGTGAGTTTTGAGTAAGCGTTTAGGCCTGTGCGCTGTCTCAGCGTGAGCTCAGAGGACTGGGCAGCCCTAGCCGGGCTGGGGAATCTAAATCGAAGGTGTAGATGGAATAGCCAACACTTAGGAATGAAGTCAGGGGTTTGGCCCAGGGCCTGCTCGATGGAGGGGAAGCAGAGGTGTGGATGCAGGCTGGCGGGCAGGAAGCAGCGACCGCCACGCTTTCTCAGGGAGAGGCAAGCGATAGCCGCAAAGACTTGCCGCCGAGTGACTGTCTAATGGGCACGGGAGGACGCACGGTGACTGTCAGGCCCACTCTGCTTGGGCACAGGCTGCAGATGGTGGCCGACTTCTTAGGGGCAGGATAACTGAGTGGCCAGGAGCATGGGCAGCTGGGTTCAAATTCTTGCTCTCGTGCTAATTAGCTGTATGATTTTGGACAAGTTACCGCACTTCTCAGTTTGTTCATCTGCAAAATAAGAGCAATAAAAAGTGCCCGTCTCATAGGGTTGCTGGGAAGATTCAATGAGGGAATACACACAAAGCACTTTGAAGAGGGCCCAGAGCAAATGAAGTGTCATGGGAGCACCTGCCGTTGTCACTCACGGTCATGCTAAAAAGTGTTTGCTGTCTTTCTCATCATCGTTGTCACCACGAGCACCATCATCCAGTCCTCCTGTCTGGTCCAGGAGGCAGGGTGTTTCCTCTGGGTGAAGAAACCAAGTATGCTAAAGGGCCACGTTCGCACAGGATTGGAATACCTAGCCCTCAGGGCTAAGCCAGAGTTCAACAGTCAGCTCCCAGCTGTTCCAAAATAGTTTGAGATTAAAATAACAAAACAGTTGGGTGCAATCCGGGATCCGTTCAGAGAATGGTCCAGATTGTCTCTTGATCCCAAGAAAATATGGAGTATAACTTACCAAGTGTAATAATGACCCGTAAGCTCATCATCTAACATGAAAGCCAACACCGCTGGACACACCTACCGTCCCCCCGCCCCTGCAACCCCACCTGCCTGCCTCCTGGGGATTGTTAACCTCACGCTGGGATTGCCGGCTGGGCTGGGCACAAGCCAAGTGGAGGCTCTGAGGGCTTCGTCTGCCACACAAAGTAACAGCCCTCTTGAGGACGCAGCTCCATCCCCTTCGCCTGCAGACGGGGATGGTCTTCACTGACCCATAGTAACCTGGCCCATCACAGAGTTTATACACATCTGGACGGCGACACTGTTCCGGGATGCACAAAGAAGTCAAGTGCCTCCAAATTCAAGGACAACACAGACCTTCAAATGATCTGTTTTGCTTTAGAAAATAATTCTCTATTTTCAGTGCCCTTTACCCCCCTCTAAGAGCACCCTTCTTCAAGGCTTCTGTTTAAAAAGCCAACAACACGCACAAAGGCTCAGAAAAGGGACTTGCTGCCAAAGTCTGGATCGTTCAGTGTGTGCTGACCCACGGACCCCCTCCCACCTCCATCCTTGCTCCACAGCAAAAGCAAGAGTAAAACAAAATTCTATAATTCTACCCCACATCATGCAAAAGCCAAAATTATGTTTCTGGCACTACCAACCCCTCCCCCCACACACAAACTCTTCTTTGTTTAAAATTACCAAGGGCAAAAGAGACATGAATGCAAAAATGCTGGGGGGACAGGTAAGCGCAGAGAACAGGTGAAGGGTTAGTGCCTGTGGTCAAATGAACCTGGTGTCTTTTAACATCAGGCGACAGAGTGATGGAGGCTCCGCAAATCCATCAACCGTGCCTTCAAGCAAACACAAAGCATCGATTTTGACAGCTGTAGCACCTTCTTTCAGAGAACTTTAGACCCGTAAGTTAATTTCTTATTAAAAATATGGTCACATTTGAACATAAGTTTCATGTCAGAGAAATCTGATGAGTTATTTTATTCCTAAGAAGTTTGCCTTTAAAGAGAAGGCAGAGATGAGCAGCGGAGTGTGTGAGCTCTCTCGTTTCTCCACTGAGAATGGCTGATTTCAATCACGTGGCACTGAGGGTGTAGGCTGGTCCCTGACTCCCTGGTACCCAAGAAGATAAGGAACGTGGTGGCGATGGGAAGGGACCACATTCCTGGAGAGGTTTCTCTGCGGCTGACACTGTTTTCAGCTAACTTTACGACAAAGAGAGGGATGCTACTCCAAGCCCATTT